GTCAGGACTTGCTTTGAAAGAGTAAATGACATTCCAATGGCCATCTAGCACTGCTCGAGACTGGCATTATGTGAGGTATCCAAAGCATGCCTTTGGGTAGTTTATCTTTTTAAAATATTGCCACTTATGATGAAATTCCATGGGTTGGAATCATGCTATGTTCCAAAACTTATAAAAACCCCCCACAGGTAGCTGAAAGCATTGCTATTCTTGGGTCAAGCATAATGGCAGCTGTTTAACATTTGCACTAGCTGTTGATGTGATAAGGTATTTCAGTGTCTTTGTAAGAGGCAAATATACAGTTCCACTTCTCATGAATTCAGAAAAGAAACATTTAGTTAGTTGTGCTCCTCTGTCTGAATCACGAGCAACAGTTTTATCATCCTATACTAGTATTAGCCCATACTAGTTCTGCTGAAGTCTTTTAATCTGTTGCAACAATGGGTAAAGTACACTCACTTGTACTTTCACAACTCCTTCAGCAAGATGCTTTGTGGTAGGCTATTATAAAAAATAATAATTAGACAATTGAACTTTTATGGATTTAAAATTGTCAGAAAAAGTACAAAAGATTAATACATAGCTAACCTTTCCTCATAACAGCATGTTGGCAGAAGATATCTCAAGTCTCTATATGCTTTATATATTTCTTAATAATTTGGAAGGGATATTGGAAAGTGATATCTGTCAGAACTAATGAAGAGGGCTTTGAAGATCAGTAAGGAGATACAGGTAATTTAAAAGTGAACAGACACATAGTGGCAAGTGAAAAGCAAATTAATAAATGCTGGAGGGAGAAATGGAAATTCCTCCTATTATTTCTGAATTAATTGGATCAGTCCAGGAAGGGACCTGAGCTTTCCTATGAAACTTGAAAGGAACAGGATACCTTGGAGTGCGGCTGCAGTTAGGAAAGCAAAACAAATATTAGTTTATTTAGCTAATATAGTTTGAATACTGTCATGTTTTGTATCAAATCTACTGTGGCCTTATCTGAAATGTTGTGTACTGTCCTGATGGCCCTTTACTTTCTGCTTGTGATACTGCTTCTATACTGTCCAGTGGCCTTCCTAATGATACGAAGATACATATTGCTGAGCCAGATAGTACCTCTGCTTTCCCTCATAGGGAGTATTGGTTTTGCAGGAAAACATGTGTCTGATTAAGGAAATTAATGACTTGCGGCAAGAACTGAAGGCAGCCCTCACCCAGCTACATCACCTCAAGTCAACACTGAAATTAACCAAGAAAAGAGAAGCAATTCAAGACATAGGTGAATAGTGCTCCTTATATGTTTTCCTTGTTGTCAATACTCATTCCAGAAGCCCTTTTTGTCTTTGGTGAACAGTTCTCTTACGCTCTCCAAGTTTGTCTGCTTGGTGAAACCTGTTATATTTTACAAACTATATATAGTATGGGTATAGTGTATATAGTACAGTATATATATATATAGATATACAGCTCTACTCCTTCAGCCCTGAAAGATGCATTTCCTTGTTCATGACAAAGAATCCTGCAAGGTGGACCTTTGTTACTCTGTCATGTTCTCTCTGATTTTATCTTCCTAGCTCCCCCAAGTGAACCGCTGCCCAGCCCAGCTGTCCTGAGGTTGAATGCAGAAAAGGAAAATGAGAAAATCATAGAAATGCAGCAGCTAGAAATTCAGTACCTGCGAAACCAAATCCAGGAGAGGGTGCAAAGCCGTGCAGTTCAGCTTCCTGAGCTGAATCTGGAAGGAAGTCAGAAGACACAGCAACAGTGATCTAGTTCAAGGATGTCTTACATTATTGTATCATCCTGGCAAGATCAGAAATGCAGCAGCATAGATTAGACTTCAGTGATTCTATACTCTTTCCATTAGAAGCATTCGTGCAGCACTCAGTACTCTGAACGCAAGGCAACAACTTCACTCCTTCCCCTTCTACTTTCCTGGAATCTTCCCTTTCCATGAGGCCAAGGAGCCAAGAGAAAAAGAATAAATTTGTGTTAGTGCAAAACTGATCTTTGAGCCTTCATGCTAGGACAGGTATGCACCTTCCTCTTGAAAAATAGCGTGTCCTAGTTCAGAAGAGCTGGTCAAACTCTGTAAACCTTTTCTGCTAGAATTCTAATTTGCTGTCATTGTGCTGAAAAACTCAGTATCAGCCTTTTATTCTCCAGTATTGAGTTGCTTATGTCCATATAAAGAACTGCCCACACTTAAGACAGATGTCAGCATTATTCCAAGCAGGTATCCAGTCACAGACTAAAAATCAATTACCTTGTGAGGGCAACCTTTGACTAGTGAGCTAGAACCCTTGCTCAAGACTGCCTCCTGTCTGGAGATGCATTGTCTCATCTGTTACAATCATTTCAGCAGGACAAAAGGCAGCACAGTTACAAACTCTGAAACCTGGAATAAAGTCCAAACCCTGCGTCACAACTCTTCCATACCTTTGCTAAATTAACCTTTGCTTGTCTTCTTCCTAGCATCTGCAATCCCTTTCCTTCAGTTTTTCTGTGAAATTCTTCTAGAAAGTCACCGTACAAAGTACTCATGTATAGCAAAAGGCAGGGAATCATTTATTTAATAGTGGGAGGAGAAAAGCACTTTTTTCATCCTTTGTTGTCAGTGCATAACACACTGTCTCACTGAGGAATACTGCACATACGTCAGAAGTTTAAGCTACTGATTGAGCTTAAACTCAATATAATACCATATATTGTTATAATACGATATATGGAACTATATAGTATTCTAAGAGCCAGTAGATTGCTGTTCCCATTTCCTAATCTGAATTGTAAAGAAGTGACAAGTGGTTTCTATGTTAAACAGAAGATGGTGGTGCCAATGCTGGATAACACATAAGCTATATTACCATTAGCGATACTAGACTCATTTCTAGGTTGACACCATGGCAAAACGAGCGCCTATGACCTGGAGACTTCAGCTGAGTGCTTTGGCCAAGAATGTGGAATTAAGTTTCTTTAGTCTTACTTTTTTCATTTTGCAGCTGTAACTGGTATGGAGCATGGGTTTCACAGGAACAAAAGGAATAAATTACAATGGAATTGGTCTGTTGATGTGCTAACTTAGCACCCTTTCTTCCTCCTCCCCTCCACATATAATCATCTTGATACTTCCTGTACAGAAAGAGGATGTAATTAACATAATTAACAAATATTTTAGAAACTAGTTCCCTCTTAAATTTTCAGAACACACCCATTCTAATTTGCTGGACTCCCCTGTGGTATAATTTTCCCCTCTCTCCATCAGAATAAATAGAGTGGCAGAAACCACTGCTTTAATAGATGTGTTTTAGAGAAATGGAATCAATCTTCCTGAAAGAGAAGAATCTTGTCCTCATAAGAGGAAGAAGCATCTACAGGTGAAGAATGATTTCTAAGTGGTGATTAATATGCTTAAAAGTATGCCCGTGTGTCACCCACATTAGAAAGATTTTAAAGGCAATAGAAGGCCTGTCAGATGAAGCCTGGGTACAGAGCTGGCAGACTAGGTTCAAGAGGATTTTGAACTTGATCTTAGTGGCTAAGAGGCAGCTAAAACACTGTTCATAAGAGAGAACTTTGAAAGTCAGGCACAGCAGAGGGTTTCAACTGAGGTTTATCAGAAACTTGCTGGAAGCAAAATAGAGGTACAAACCCCTTCTATACTCGGAACACTAGACCAAGGGCAATTTCCCACACACGTGCTGTAGAAATGTTTTCAGGATTAAGTTGTAACTGGATTATGATTTTGAATGCCAATGATCTTCTGAATTATCTCAGGCTGCAAAGACGCTCTGCTTCATCCTGTCTTGGTCTGCATTGTCTGTTTCTCCTGTTGATACCTTTCTAAAGGCACTAGTAAGCATCTCATGCGCTTATAAAGTTACAGTCCACTTTTAAAAGTGAATATATGGCTATCTGTAAAGCTGAATAAGGTTTCCCCTTGATAATGTGTTTGTTAACTGGCCCAACTAAAGGTTTTTCTTACTATTTTTTTCTTAGTAAGGGAAAGCTCATTGTTCAAAGATATTCATATAGCAAAATCCACCATGCTCTATTTGGTGTTTTAGGTTTAGGACAGGTGATATTTCATAAGTTTCAGAAGATCTGTGAGATCTTACTCAAGATAGATCTTCAAAGCTGTTGCACTATTCCGTGTCTATTTTATTAGTGTATCCTAAGCTACCCTTCAAATAGCCTGCTAAAAACCTAGCATGCGACTTAAATAACTGAGCCTCCCTTTCCATTAGTCAGGCAAGAGCTGTTGTTCAGCCCCATTCTCTTCTTCCTACATCTTCCAGGAGATTTTCCAGCTGCTCAAGCTCCCAGTAGTGATCCCTTCTGCTGTCATTAAGGCCAGCCACAAAGGAGGAGGCATGCCCTTAGTCTGGGAGTCCCATTCCCCTGCTGACTTTTAATGTTCTTGCTACTCCCTTTTATTTCTCTTCCTCTCTCAAAGGAGTCCTTTTCTGTTTCCCTAATTCCTCTCAGAACTGACACTTTTTACTTTCCACTAAATTACCAGGAATTCAGAACTTCTGCAGCATGGCAGGCTCTGCTGATGCCACTGTCTCCCAAGGAGGGGATGCTGCAGCTGCCTGGTGATAGAGAGATGCCACCACAATGACATCTTGCCTCACATAAGTGCCTGCCCGGACTAACACCATGCAAAGACCCAGTCCTGATGTGTCCAGATGGCCCTAACCTATACAGCAGTGCAGGAGCTATTTTGTTTAACACCACATAACAGCAAATACTTGCCGAATGTGTCAAATCTCCCCTAGCGCTGCCAACCTGGCTGCAGGCTTCCTCTCACCCACTGCCTGGGAGCTGCCCTCAGGCTCTGGCACCCCTTCACCTCCAGCTGGGAGGAAATGAGCCACCTTCCAGGATCGGTGTGCGGCCAGATCCTGCCCGGGGAGGGAGGGAGGGGTAGCGCCTGCACACCGACGCGGCTCTGGAGCCTCTCCAAGGCCAGCAGCAGGTTTGCTGAGACGCCACCCTGCTGGGGAATGCACCTGCCCGGGCGAGAGGTGAGGGCTTGCAGCCTATCGCTGGTGCTGCCCGCGCCGCGCCAGGAAGGGGAGCGGGCAGCAGCACCTGCTCCTTGGCAGGCGGCTGCCGGAGGAAGGGAAGAGATTCTCCCGGTGAGCTCCCTCGTTAGCTCGATCCAGTGGAAGGAAAGCCAGGAAAAGCCACAGCTGCCAGGCAGGAGCAGGGGACAGTGCAGCGCTGCCGTGTGCGGGCAGCATCTGCCGCAGGTGAGTGAGCCCTCCGCTCCGGGACCGTGCTGTGCGGGAAGGGCCGGGCTGCATCAATAGGTGATGGCAGGCTGGGGGCTGCTTCGGACATACTTCTTAAGAGATCTGCCTCTCGCTTCACATTATTTCTTCCTTGCACCATCGTGTTTCCTCTCAGCACATAAGGAAGTTTCTTGTTCCTTCAGGACTCCTAGGCTCCCCGTGGCAGAGGTGCCTCAGAAACAGTCTCCGTCGGGTCAGAATGATGCCTGCCTTTTATGAATACCGTGAGGAAGGGGTACACGAGTCTTTATAATGGAGCATGCCAAAGCTATCTAGATCTCTTTAAAAAGCATCTGTGTGCTGACCCTGTTACAAGAAGTCCTCCACCATCCTTACCCTTAGAGCCCCTAGGCTGAGTGGAAGGAAGGGACAGTCATCTATCATCCAGGGCTTCCCCAGGGATTCATAAATGATGTCTGGTGGCAGGAGTGCTGGTGGGACAGACTTGCTTCTGGGAAAGCATTACCCCTCTGGTGGGGTAGGGAGGGTAGGCTTCCCCCACGAGGTACAGATTAGACAGCATAGGTTTGCATGGATTTTGAGCAGCCCCAGAAAGGAGGAGCACAGGGAATTGGTTGATGTAGCACCCAAAGGAGTGTGGTGGATCTGTTGCTAGGATTTTGGGTGAGACAGACAGATGCTACATAAAAGCCTCATTACTCCAATTCCCTGCAAGTTTCTCTATCCCTGTTTCTGTGTTCTTAGGAGAAGAGTGGGGACCCTCTCAGTCGTCCCAAGGCAGCAACGTCCCTGCTCCCAGGGGCACAGACAGGCCTTGAGCTCCACAACTTTCAGATCTTCTGATTTGTGTATTGACTGTAATTCAGCCATAAAACAAGGTACATGAGCTTCAGTCTTTTGGAGCCTACAAGGGAGTTAGAATAGAATAGAATATGCTTAGGAAGCATTTCTTTACCGAGAGGGTGGTCAAACACTGGAACAGGCTTCCTCCAGAGGTGGTCAATGCCTTACACCTGTCAGTGTTTAAGAGGCATTTGGACAATGCCCTTAATAACATGCTTTAATTTGGTCAGCCCTGAATTGGTCAGGCAGTTGGACTGGATGGTCATTGTAGGTCCCTCCCGGCTGAAACAGAAGAGAGCAGAGCAGAACAGAACAGGTTGGAATAAACTGGAATAGGCTAGACTGGAATGGACTAGGATAGGATAGGATAGGATAGGATAGGATAGGATAGGATAGGATAGGATAGGATAGGGTAGGATAGGATAGGATAGGATAGGATAGGATAGGATAGGATAGGATAGGATACTTCAGTTGTAAGGGACCTACAACAATTCAGGACAGACCAAGTTAAAGCATGTTATTAAGGGCATTGTCCAAATGCCTCTCAAACACTGTCAGGCTTGGGGCATGAACCACCTCTGTAGGGAGCTTGTTCCAGTGTTTGACCACCCTCTTGGGAAACAAATGCTTCCTAAAGCACTGTTGCATCTGTCTGTCTCTCTTCCTAAAGCACTGGGAGTTGGAAAAATCACATGAAAGGATAGGAAAATATTTATGCCTTCTGGACTAGAGATTTCTGTGAGGCACAGAGTGGTAGCAAGTCCATCCCAAACAGGGATGGCTATGGCCAGACCTGGCCAAGAAGCACATAAGCTATGATGGACTGGAGAAGCAGAGGAAGGAGATGGCTTGTGTCTGTCTGAGATTGTGAGGCTCTGTTGATCTCATCTGGATTGCTCATGCAAAGCGTTTCATGTACTGTTATTTTACAGCAAATCCTGCCAGACCCTCCCGGTCTCCATGGTGCTCACAAAGTCCACATAGCTGCATAAACACCTTCCAAGGTTGGAAGTGCTACAGGAGCCTCTCCCACCCCTGGCTTGCCCTCCTGAACGCTTTGGGTAAGCAGTGTCTCACAGGGTACCCCGGGTTCAGGGATAGGAGGGAAGTGAGGAGTATTTCAGCAGCTGAACTTCATGGGGCTCTGAAATGGAAGTGTTCTTGAACATACATACAGTGCATGGCCCCTCTGCCAGATGTCAGACAGAAATAAATGTATACCGCTCCCAGGGGGTCAGCAGGAGTGTGCCTCCCACACCTGCAGCCAGGAGTGACCAGAAACCAGTTGATGATGACCCACAATTCCCAGTTAAATGTTGTCAGAGTAGGAAAAAGAAAAAAGAAAGAAAGAAGGAAAACATGACCACTGTTGTTTTCCTGCATTCCCAGTGCTTTCCTGTTCTTCCTCCCCATCTGCCAGCCAGCAGCAGGGAAGGACAGACAGCCTGTCCATTTCTTCCTGAAATGTGACCTTCAGTCAGAAAGCATTGTGTGTCTGGGCTGGTCCTCTTTCTTTTGCACACAAAGATGGGAGCGCTGAAGGTACTGGGTTCAGTAGTAAGTAAATGGTAGAGAGTAATGACCTGTGATACATGTTATCAAACCGGCTGATCTGATGGGGTAACTGGTTTCAGCTCCCAAGGGGTCTATCTATGTTATGGTCTATCCCAGAGCAGTGAGATGAGGTAGCAGGTAGCCCAAAGCAACAGAAGGGGCAACTGCTGTGGAAAGGCTGCCCTCCCTCATGGCAGAGCAGGGATCCATAGCCCTTCCTTTCTCTCAGTGTGACCTGGGCAAACTTATGTGCTGCATAATGCCAAGAAACCAGATCAGCAAAGTCGCTGTGAGATCTAGTTTCATCCCCTCTCCAAGCAGAGGTGGGTGATAGCCAAGATAGGGCTGCTTTGATTTAACACAGTCGTATGTTAAGAGGACAGAAAGCAATGCACCCACCCTGGGAAACTGCAGTTAGATTTAAGGAAAAACTCATTCGTGGTGAGGGTGGTTAAACACTGGAATGATCCCAGAGGGGCTGTGCATCCTCCATCCTTGGCAGTATTTAGCACCTGAGTGGATGGGGCCCTGAGCAGTCTGAAGTTACCTCTGCTTTAAGCCTGTGGATGGACCAGGTGACTTCTCAAGGTCCTATCCCACCTAAATTATTCTGTGATTCAGATACTGTTATTAGCAGCACAAACCCTCCCAGCCTGGAGAAGCCCAAACAAGTGTAGGTGTTCAGAGCAAACAATTATATTCCCAGAACACTTTGAACAGACTCAAGGAAGCATGGAGGCATACTTCAGCAGAAGCCTTTGCCTCTCAAAATCATTCATTCAATAGACCTTAATATAACACTGAGAAATCAGTGCTCACAGACATCACATTTTACTTTGTTCTGCAGCCAGATACTATAATGGCTTTGTCTTGTTCCCTGAGCTTCTTCTGAGCAAATAAAAGCTGAAATGGTTAAATATGAAACAGTAACATGTGAATGCCGTGCCGTAGCTTGATTTCTGGTTGCATTTTCCCTCACTGTGATTTGTGCTGTTGTGGGGTTTTTTGCTTACTGTTTGACTCACAACTTGTGTGTGCAGCTTGGACCAAGCAGCAGAAGGCCACAGACTTTGCACTTCTCCAAGCTTTACTTTTTTTTAGTTCAGACTCTCAATCTAATCTACAAACCTGCTGTCTATTGGACTCACCCATTCTGTGGTTAAGGAGGAGATAAGGAACCTCTGTGCTTGGAGAAGGAAAGGCAGGAGGAAGCAGTGATAATCACCGAGCTAGTTTGCACAAGCTGGGGAAATGTTCTCTCCCCTCTACTTTGAAGGTGCCCTGTGACATCCTCACCTTCTTGGGCACCTGTGTCTTGGGAACATGTGGACACACAAGGTATCTGCTGTCAGATGCAAGATCAAAGTGGGTCTCAGCAGTCACAAATCTGCACACTCAGCCACAGCTTTTTCCCCTCTCTATTTAATGCTTTCTGATTGTTCTGGCTCCAGCCAGGAGCTGCAGCTCTGCTCTGGGCTCCCAGGCCAGTGTACCCTCTGGAGCCTGTGTTTCTGTGTCCAGGTGACCGCAGCACCAGGGGAGCAGCGCAGCAGCTCACGCAGCACCATGGGTCGCGGGCCTGCAAACCCAGGCTGGTTAGAGACTTCCTGGACACGTGCTGCCAGCTGGCAGCAAGCCCTGAGCCACGTCCAAAGTGACCTCATGCTCCATCACAGCCGGGGAGTGACTCAGGAGGAGCTTGGGCTGACACTGTCAGGCGGTGTCTGGCTCAGACACCCCCCACACTATTGTTTTCCCTCTCCCCCCAGCCCACATTGGCTTGCCCCCAGTGGAGGGTGATCTTCAGGTGTCTGCTGGTAGCAAAGGCATTGCCATAAGAAGATGAGGGGACTCTCTGAGGACAAGGAGAGCTGTGGGAGGAAACATCCCTGCTGTGTGCAGAGCTGCCATGCGTGGAGGTCACACATCATCCCCACCCGTCTGTAATGAGCCCAGAGTCCCAGGGCTGTGCAGATCAGGGCAAAGTGTGCTTGGCGCAGGCTGACGGGCTCCTGGAGAGCCAGTTTTATCAGGGAGGGTGCTGCGTGGCTGTCCCCACTCGGGAGAAGTGACACAGCTCTGACACAGGGGATCTGCATCAGTGCCTGTCCCCACCACAGGCTCCCATGGGATACAAAGCTGTTGGTGTGTGTGTCTGTGATGGCTGAGGGTGCATTGTCCTGTCTGGGAAGTGACCAGGAGGCAGTTCGTGGGTCTGCAGGATCTGCTTCATGTCTAAAGGTCTCAGCTATAACCTGAAATACTCCCATGCTGTCTTCATCACCACCTCTCCTTGCTTTGGATGCTCTCTGTGCCGGAGGCTCCCTCTGGTACTGTGGGACCAGTCGGAGCACTCGTGTGCTAGGATGAGACATGTAAGGGAAATGCAAGCGGTTTCCACTCTTGTTGTAAAACTGTACTCAGAGCAGCACTGAGGGGTGCCAGGACCCTGGGAAGGTGATGAGCCCCAGAAGCTGTGCTGTGCCGAGGGGAGCCCAGCTAAGCCCAGCACCACAGAGCCTGCCTCCAAGCTGCAGCTACCACTGCCGTTCCCCTGCTCCCCTCCATCGGTGAAGGGCTTCAGGGACCAGCAGAAAAAAGAGCTAAATCACAGGGTTCCAGGTCCCAGCTGCCTGGGGGCTCTTCCCAGGGAAGTGCTGAGACTGCTGCAGATGTAACCATCGTGTTTCTGCAGGGAACTTGGGAGGGGGAACCACTGGCAGTGAACAGTGAACGGGCTCAGAACACGCAGCAAAGGCAACTCTTGCTCTTCCAGGGACTGGACTGGAAGGGTTAAGCCCCGGTCCTGACCCCCACCTCCCGCTGTCCTTCTGGGCAGCAGAGCCAGTTGGTGACAAGAGGCTGATGCTGATGAAGGAGCATGTGAAGCCAGAGCTGTGAATGGGGCTTTATCCCCAGGGGACCTGCCTCTGCTCCATCCCTGCCCTGCTGCCAGCACCAGCTGCAGGCATAGTCCTGCGGGCAGCCATGTGCCAGTAGCCTCTGAGCTGGGCACAAGGGGCTGGGGAGTCAGGAGACTCGCCCTTGGGGAAGGCTGAGGTCCCCACAGTGTGTGGAGGTCTCCTGGGAAGACGTGCGTGGCTGATCCATGCTCCAGTGTCGGGGGCTTTCATGAGGGAGGCAGGGGGAGCTCTGCAGGCTAGCTTGGGGCGACTGAGGCCCTGGGTTTGGCAGGAGATCGTTTGGGACAGGGTCTGTGTTTAATATCTTCTCTTCTTGACTCTTTCAGATGAAAGACACGGGAAAGGAAGGACGCAGCCCTGGTTGTTCCCTTCTGGTGCTGCTCCAGGGATGCTCCACCACCTCCTGCAGCCCTGCCTGGGGAGTGGGCTCAGCCTCAGCACATGGACCATAGCTCTCCAGGTGGCACTGCTGCAGAGGGCAGCTCCAAAGAACGAGACAGAGACATCCCCACTTGAGAAATGCAGCTGCCTTCACAACCGCTGACGTCTGGACCCTTCTCTTCACTGTAAGGGTGTAGATCCAACTGTGCAACCACCCTACCGTGTCCCCCCCACCCAGCCACGCGCCATGCCGGAGCTGGCAGAGCTAAGCAGCCCCCGCACCCCTGCGGACGCGGACCACATCCAGAGGAACATCCTGGAGGAGCATGTGGAGCTCTGGTGGTTCCAGGACCCCAAGAAGTCCATCCTGTGCTACGGGGTGGCCGTGGCGCTGATCCTGTCCTGTGGAATCGGGGGCATCATCCTGCTGTACAGCACCAGCAGCCGGTCCGGGGAGTGGCGGCTGGCCGTGGGCACCACGCTGTGCCTCCTGGCCCTGCTCGTGCTGCTGAAGCAGCTGCTGAGCTCTGCAATCCAGGACATGAACTGCATCCGCAGCCGGGATCAGATTGAGCTCCTCAAGAGCGGTGGCTTCTCAGACTGCCTGGTGCTGCTGCTCAGCGCCCTGGTGCTGCTGGTCTGCGGGGTGGTGCTCACCATCCTCTCCACCACGAGCATGCAGCTCAGCCCCACACGGCCGCTGGCCAGCATGTTCACCAGTGGGGTTGTCCTCCTGACTGCTGGCAGCGCCATCCTCCTCTGCCTGCTGCTCTACCTGCTCTGCACGTCCTGCCGCCAGGCCGCTCCTCGCAGCCTGGAGACTGGCGACATCCGTGTCTTCACCATCTCCGGCCGCCTCACTCCAAACAGGCGGCTTCCTCCCACCTCCAGCATGGCCAACCTGATCTGAGCCAGGACACCTCTGCGTGAGCCTCTGGATACTACCCGTCAGCAGGGCTGGTGCTGGCTTTTCCTTGAAGGAAAGGGGAGTGTTGCCGTGTGCCTCACACTTCTTTCGGAGATGACTGACTGGCATTTGCTTTGCCCCAGGCTGATGGCATGGCAGGGACCTGAGGCACCTGGACAGGCTCTGACCTGGCACATGAGGAGCTCAGCACTGGCCTGGTTGGTGGTGTATCTCCACAAAGCCTCCTGCAACAGCTGCTGCCTGCCCGGCTGTGATGCCTGTCACAGCATTAAGGTGAGCCTGTCCCATACCCATGGGGACTCTGGTACTTGCTTGGTTCCCGCAGTTCCTGGAGCTGTTGTGCGCTCTCCTGGCAGGGGAGGCTGTGATTGAGGGTTGCATGAAACTACCCTGTGCTTTGTGCAGAGCTGCCAGCTACCGAGCGAAGTAGAGCCTGTAGCAGGTGATGAATGGCAGGAAACACTCTGCATGTCAGCAGGCATGCAGTGCCAGTGAAGGGAGGCTGGTGGGAGGTAGGGCTGCAGGGGCTGCTCCCGAGAAAGCATCTGTGTGTCTGTCAGAGTAAGCTTGGGATTTGCATGGGATTCCATGTGCCAGAGCCCCGGCATGGCTGGACCTCACATGAAATGCTGTTTGTGTTTGCAATGCTGGGATCTGTTCCAATATTACATGTCTGCAGCCCACCACCTTCTGTGGTTTATCAAACAGGTGTTACCTGTTTGATGTGTTATCAGTGCTGCTCTGTGTTGGGGCTCTGCTATCAATGCCAGCGTGCTCCAGCCACGCAAGTCACAAACAGCAAAATGCAGTCACTGGGGATGGTGATGGGATGCTCAAATCCTGGGGCTGGGCTGATGTTCTGCAAGGGCAGTGCAACGGGGGAACATCGTTACCCTCAGAGAGGAGTTTCCCAAGCAGAGGCACCCCTGCTGCTGTGGGAGCACTGCAGCTCATCCCAGTCCCTGTGCATTCCCACGCTGCTTCTGTCTCCCAAGTGCTGCTGCAGCTGCAGGGTGGAAAAGTTCTTCTGCTACCACTTGGACTTTACCTGCAGCTTTTTGGTGTTTTATCTCTACAAGGTGTCTATCACCTAAGTGTCTTTCCCAGAGGCAGACTAGCAGCTCATCCCTGGGAGCTTTTACTGTGACTTTAGGCTAATTTACCTGTCAAAATTCTCACTTCCTCCAAAGACCCACAAACCATTTCACTGCCCTTTCCATAGACACAGATCGTAACCTCCTAGCAAAGCTGCTCCTGCAAAACCTTCTCTTCTTCTTCCCCTTCATGTCTGCTCCCATCTCCCCCTCACCTGAGCTGCTCTGACCCAGCCATTATTTTTGCTCATTATTTGCAAAGTTCCCTCTGTGGAGGAATGGAACACGACTGAGCCATTACTTTTTGGTGTGTAAGTACCAAATTTATTTGGAAGAGCATGGTAGCTCGTTCCCTTAGTAACAGCATGAATCACTGTCCATGCTACACCTACACTGGAAGCAGTGTCAGAGTTCAGCATCAGTGAACCCCACCAGGTATACACTGGACAATGAAGGCTTCATCCTTTCACAGCTCTGGACCACACCATCTCTGATGCACTTGATCACATGAGGGCACTTCTGTGTTCATCTGTTCCTGCTGCCTCTCCTACACCTGCAGCCATGGATTTTTTTTTTCCCAAAGTATGGGAGCAGCATTTTAGCTTTTCTTTTTGGACCTGTTATTTACGCATTTTCCTCTGCCACTTTCACATCATCCATAGATTTTATTCAACTGCTGTTTCCTCCTCTCTCTGAATCATTTCCCTTAATCTGCCCAAGATTTCAGAGGGTGTTACTAAGCTCAGGCAGGTCCTTCTATGCTAAATTCTCCGCAAATAGCCATCCTACCCCTCTGGGCTGTTTGACCCTGGGTCCAGTAGGGACCCCTCTGCATACACAGGGAGGAACAGGCCAGAGCTGGACAGTTTTGTGCCATCGCCATTGCTGCTGCTCTGCACATCTGCATCAGTGCATGTGCAGTTACACCACCTCTGCGTCTTACTCCCAGCCCCCCCAGCCTGCACACATGGGCAGCCCACAGCTGCCTGCACACCGGCTGTTTTGCACATCTGGGCATTCCTAAGAAGGTGCGTGGCTGTGCCCAGCTCACAGCTCAGCGCTGCCTACATGCCAATGTGAATCCTCCCCTCCACAGCCCCTTCAAAACATGCCCCAAGTGCCCATGAACTATGCTAGGAAGGGATGCTTGTGGGCAGTGTCAGCAACACAAGGAGATACTGTCTGAGAACGGGCTGTCCCTGAGAACGGCAGCTCGGGTGTCTGGCTGCCCAGAGGGACAGCCTGCGCTGCCCCAGTCACAGTCTGTCTGCAGCAGCAGTACTGGTCTGCTCCTTTCTTGGCTCCTGTGTTGTGTGTGGAAATACTTAATAAAGTGTAGCAGAAATCAACTGTGTTGAAGGCTGATGCTTGAGCGTTGGCCTCTCTGAAGAGCCGGGGGTGACAGGACTATGCAAAACTGGCCTCTGCTCAGAGAGCCCAGGGCAAAAAACATGGCAGCCCAGGGTCTCTCCTGAAACTGTGATTTTGGTTTACCAGCAAGTGTGGCAATGCCCCCCACAGCCCCCAAATGCATATACTTATTTCCTGATACACACCTTGCACCTCCAGAGGCACATGCATCTCTTTCTGCTTAAGGAACTATACAGCTGGTCCCCCTTACCACCACCCTGTGAACAGAAGATCTTGCCATGCCTCCGAAAGACGCTCACATGGTGCATGCAAAGCCTCCTGATGATGTCCATGCCAGTTTGTAGAGAAGCTGTTTCACCCTGTAGTGAGGCTGAACCTTGTGCTTCATGGCAGCAGCTACTGCCTGCAGCGACCCTGGTACCAGTCTGCCTGCATACCTGCCACTGCTCCCATCCGCCAGCCTCAACCATGGGGTCCTCTGACTGCTTCCTAGGAGGATCCCTCTGAGAAGGCTCCTCTTTTTCTGCTCTGATCCCCTTGTATTCCCAGATCCGCATGCCAGATACAGTTCCCACCACTGGGCTGCCAAGCTCCAGCCCACTAGCACTGGAGCTGCCTGGAGAGGGGTCAGAGGGGCTGCCACGCTCCCCCGCACATCAGAAAAACAAGGTCAAAGTAGACAAGCAACCGGCCACTGGGCACTGAGGGATGAGAGTGTGCAAGATCCTGCATAAAAAAGCCTGGGCACTTGTATTTTAATCTCTTTTAAGACATCACTGAGACCTAAATAAAATACTGAATCTAGAGTGAGTTCATGTGATTGAAAAGCATGTTGAAAAGCCCAGAAATTGCCCTCCAAAAGAGAGCTGAAATGCATTTTCCCAGTCCTCAGATTTAAGTATCCTATTTTACCTGAAAGCTATCCACGATTTCAAAAAATTACAGCATATATTACATATATATACAGTGTGTGCTGTAATTCAGATGGAGCTGTTAAGATGAACCCAGAAGGCAAAACATGAGGCAGTGATTGCAAAAGTAAATCTCACATTAGAAATACATTATTTAACAACCAAAACTGGATGACCGCTGAAACAAGCCAGCAGGTTTTCCTCCTTGTGGCTATAATGGCACATTCCCTCTCTGGAAGGTGCTCTAAGTCACTGGCCTGTGTTGCTCATGCAACGCCCAACCCAGTCGTTCCCTTTGGTTTACATTCTCTGACATGTATTATTTACTTTTGTACACACTGTGCTCTGTAAATGTCTTCATGACCACAGAAATAGAAAGGCAGTTTACAGTGCAACGGAGGTTTGAAGGAGATGGGGAATTAGCCGTGTGGCAGGGCTTCAGGAAATGCTATCCCTGTGATGATGTTTCATGCTCTGGAGCAAGATAAGAGAGATTTCCAGGCTATTGGGGATGGGAACAACCAGGTTGTGCTCTGGGAATTCTGCCCAGCCAGATGGTACCAGCTTGTGAATCACTTTACTAAGGAGCGTGAACGCTGCTGCTGCTTCCTGCTTTTAACTCGTGTGATCCACACAGACACGACTGGCTGGGTCATAACTCACAGTTACCGATGTCTCATGTGCTGTTTATAGTGCCACAAACATGACAGGAATGCAAAAATTATAATGTTCATCTAAATCCATGCTTAAAGATACAGATGGGATGCTGCAATGGGTGCCAGGGGACAGGGCTGTCTCGCCCCAGTGCACGTGCCTGCCTGACGCCACAAGCTGCTAACAAGTTTGCTCATCTCTGCAGAGCTGGCATGGAAAAGGTAAGTGCTTTCGTAGCACGTCTTGGTGGAGAGGGATGAGAGAAAAGAGGGAAAGGGTGCACTGTAAAGCAGCAAGAGGGGTGGGAAGCAGCACTGTAAAGATGTGCACAGAAATCCTGCGATGAAGCAGCAGATCTGCCTGTGCCACAGTGGGTGACAGATACGCTTGCACAAGCGCACTCGTGCCACAGACCTGTATTTTCACCACCACAGTTAACATGGAATGCATTTGCGGTCCTTGAAAGCACATGCAGAAGAATCCGCACCCCAGCTGCGGGCTGACAGGTCTCCTCCTGGCACTGTCACCAGGAGAGCTCCAACAAACCATCACAGACAGAGGCTTTAATTACCCTTTTAATCACACCCTGGAGTGACAACACATTGAAGGACAGAGCAGGGCTGTGTCTGGCAATATGGGGCAGTGGGGCTGATGCCTGAGACCCTGCAGAAAGCATCAGGGCAGGCTTCTCTTCCCACTCCACCAAACTGCCTGGGTGCAACAGGCACCACGTTCTTCAGCAGCAGCACCCAAGCAAGGCTGGGAGAGCAGGAGCAGGTCCGGTGTCCCTGTGCTCTTGCATCCCCACTGGCATCATGCTGGGGCTGGCTGCCTTCAGCCTCCATCATCATTCCCAGCCCATCCTTTCTCTCCCCTCTTCTCCACTCCTTTCCTCCTGCCCCCAGCCCTGTGGGGCTAAATGCCGAGGGAAGGTGGGAAAGGGCAGGATGGGGATGGAGGTGAGGGAACAGCAAGAGGCTGCTGGAGCACAGGCTCAGATGGAGAGGTGCAACTGCTGCTCCTCATCCTCTGGCACCTGCTCGCTTGGCTGGATATAGTTGTCCTCGATGAAGCCATCATCATCCTCACCTTGCAGGTCAGCAGCACCAGGCATGGGGTGGCTCTCGCAGGTCCCCTGGCCTGAGGAGCCCCTGTCCCAGCTGCTGCTGTCCTCCATGGGGCTGCCTCCGATCGAGCTGGTTTCGGGCAATGGCCGGTGGTGGTAGCTGGTGAAGTTCTTGTGGAAGACCTTGCACTTGGCAGCCAGCGCGATCAAGATGGAGATGCCAATTGCTGCCACCAGGAAGCCCACCAGGTACGGCCAGCTCCTTCCCCCTTTGCCGGTGGGTGGTGCAGTGGCTGCAGTGCAGAAAGATCATCAGGGTTAGGGCAGGTCAGCCTGGTCTTACCCAGTGCTCTTCAGCAGCCAGCCCTGTATATGCCTCCAGCATGCAGCCAGCATAAGACTGCTTCCATTAGGAACAATATAAACGCTCTTCACCAAGAGCTAGCTATCAAGAACCTGTGGGAAAAACTGCTGGCTGGCTGATACTGGTGCCAGTCACTGCAGGGTCTATGCTCTGTATTGCTTTGTGGCATCTGCTAACTTTTCTGTTCCAAAGCCAGCAAACACCTCGCAGGTGGTGGCCACTCTCCCCACCAAATCACTGCACAATCAGTGGCCCCTGGGAGTGGGGCAGAGCCATGGGTCCCTGCCTACAGTCCCTCTGGGGTGATAGAAGGGAGGAGGGAGATAGAACTTATGGATGCCTTCGTAGCTGCACAACTCACTGTTGCTGTAGGTGACTGTGATCTGCTGCACCGTGCTGACCTCCCGAGGAAACCGCTGCTTCACCCAGCAGCCCAGATCCTGGGAATCCAGTGCTGCAACCTCCCGGCCCCGCAGCCACGGGGGTGATGCACAGGTCACCTGCACAGCTGGGAGACACACAGGATAAGGTGGGACCTCCCCAGTTTAGAGAAGACTATGCCTGCTTATTCCTGAGTTGATAGGACACCTCACAAGATGCTCCTGGGTCTGACCTCCAGCCTCGCTGGCCCTCATCACATTGTAAGGCAGAACCAAACGAAAAGTTCCCTGGCCAAGGAACTGTGTGAGTGTGTGACTGTGATTAGCAGGCTTCTTTTAACTGGATAATGCCAAATTCATGGATACTGATAGAAACCCCACTGTCACAGGGCTGCTCTTTCCTGGGAGATGAGCTCAAGAGGGTTGGAGCCTAATCCGGCTCCACAGGAGGAGCTGCCAAGTGCTCAACACCTCTTGAAAATTTAGTTGCTCCATGGGGATACATATAAGTGTATTCTGGGGCTGAAGCATACATGCAGCCCCTTTCCCAGTAGAGTGGCTAAATTATCCTGCTCTCATTCCCAAAAAACTTTGGTATCGTGTGTAACTGCAAGCAAGGAAGAGACATCACCTTCCAGTCCACTGTCCCTCAGCAAGGTGGGAGAGGTCCCAGGGAAGCCTGCCCAGGGGTTGGAGCAAAAGGGTCGAGTGGGACCCCTGCCCCAGAGCTCCTCCTGCCCAGCACCTCCTGTGCCACCTGCCCCTGTGTGCTCACCTTGCCTGCGCTGCAGCCACTGCTGCAGAGGGTGTGCGCTGCAGTCGCAGAGCCAGGGGTTCCCTTCCAGCTGGACCTGCAGGACTGCATCCATCAGCTGCAGGCTCCACGTGTCCACAGAGACCAGCGCATTCTGCTGCAGGTCCAGGTGGAAAAGCGCCTTCAGTGGCAGGAACAAAGAGGCCTCAAGCTCTTGCAGGCTGTTGTTTGTTAGGAGCAGTGTGCCCAAGTTTCCCAGGCCCTTGAAAGCGTCCACGTGGAGGTAGGTGATGCTGCAGCTGCTCAGGTCCAGCAGACGCAGTGCTCCGAGGTTGGAGAAGGCTGCTGGGCTCAGCACCAGAAGGGCATTGCTAGAGAGGTTGAGGGTGTGCAGAGAAGGGAAATGCATCAAGAGAGTCCTGTGATGGGGCATGACCAAGGAGTTGAAGGAGAGGTCCAAACTGGTGATGTTATTTGGAAGGGAACTTGGAGCATTCTGGAGGCTCTTCCCGTGGCAGTCAGCCCATCCCTGGAAAAAAGCTGGTGTCTGAGATGTGCTTTCTGTTCTGGGGAGGATCTCTAGACTGAGACTCCCCAGAAGTTCAAATGTCTTAATGAATTACCCTTGCAGAGTTTAAAAAAACAAAGACACAAACAAGTTTAAATAACATATGAGCTGCTCAAAACAGAAGTTTGGTGTGGGTCAGGATAAATGGAGAAAGGTGAGCAGGACAGCCCAGCACTGAGAGCAGCTGAGAGAAGGAGTAAAGGGGGAACATGGAGAGCTGGGGGGAAACTCAAACAGATGAGGTGGATGTGAAGGAAGCAGGTTGTCACCCTCCTGTCCTCCCTTTCAGAGCAGTTGTTATGCAGGGTCAGCTTGCAGAGGGCCTTCCTTTTCCTTCCCAGTCCCCAGGGATCTCCTTGTATGACACAGGGCATCCTCCCCAGCTGGAGCAGCAAAGCAGGCGAGACCCTGCCTGCTGCGAGGGCAGGCAGAGTGATGGCACCTGCACCACGCACCCATGTCAAGAGCTGCTCCCAGGGCCTGTGCAGGATATCCCACCCATGCCTCCAGCCCTCCCGTGCTTCTGAGGATGCACTGTGAGTGGCAGTGGCTTAGTGCAGTTTGGCTGCGTCTGTAGTAGTAAACAGAACACACTGGGGACCACTCGCTATCCCAAAAGACCAGCAGTGCATGCTCGATGGATCAACAGCTCCACACAGATGTACTGGATTTGCCTGAAAAACAGGGTGGCCAAATTCAAGCTGGTTGTGGGGAGCAGTCCCCAGAATGTGTTACTCTTCCTTGGGCTTTATGTGAGGCCAAGCCAAGATTTTTGAGGTCTGTCTCAAGCTCACATAGGGCTGGGATCGGGGAGGCTGGGGAAAACAGGACAAACCTTTTGAGGAACCATCAGAGAGCTCAGTGGGCAGCACTGCCCTGTGCCATCCTTTTCCTGCAACAGCAGCTTTTCCTGCTCCCTCCCGGCTCCCTCCTGGTGCAGCCTAGCTGCTGGCTGCAGCACTTGTCCCAGTAAGATGGTTTAGTTACACTTCCTGCTCCTTGCCAGGCACTCGGGGATGCTAACCCCATGTTTGCCCTGACCCCTGGCTTCAGGCACTGCATCACCCTACACTGGAGGAGGGAGTAAGGGACTGTCCTGGACTCAGCTGTGATAGAGTTAATTTTCTTCCTAGTGCTGTTGCAGTGCTGTGTTTTGGATTTGGTGTGAGAACAATGCTGATAACACACCACATAGTGCTTATCCTGATTCAAGGACTTTTCAGTCTCATGATCTGCCAGTGAGGAGGGGCACAAGAAGGCGGGAGGAAGCAGAGACAGGACACCTGACCTTAACTAGCCAAAGCGGTATTCCATACCATAGAACATCACATTTAGTACAGAAACAGAGGATTTGGCCCAAGGGACCGATTGCTTCTCAGGACAAGCTGGGCATCGGTCAGTGGGTGGTGAGCAATTGTATTTTGCATCATTTGCCTCTCTTGGGTTTTATCCCCTTCGCTCTCATTGTTTATGTTTATTATTATTACCTTTATTTCCATTATTAAACTGTTCTTATCTCCATGTGTGGGGTTTACATTCTTCCGATTCTCCTTCCCATCCCACAGGGGACGAGCAGAGAAATGAAGCATGTATGTTGGTACTTAAGTTGCCAGCTGGGGTTAAACAACAACAAGTGGTGGGAGCCCCTCAGGGATGTGCCTCCCTCCTCTCACCATGCATCCCTTTGGGCAGCTGTGTTATGGCTGCAACCAAGACACCCCCAGAAATGCCACAGCTCAGATAAAGCTTTGCCATCCCTGCCACGCTGCGGTGAACGGGCTGGACAATGTGATGTGCTCAGCCCGAGCCTGGGAGCAGGGCAGCCGGGCTGCAGGTGTGGGTGACCCACCCCTGGTCGCTGGTGGCCTCTGGCACAGCACATCTCCCCGTTAACTCCGCTTGCTCCCGTGGGGTTTCCTTGCTCCTCATCTCTCCCGCGGTGCAGAAAAGGAGCCGCCTGGCAGGGCCTGCTGCCCGCAGGCACACGGTGCCACAACCCCAGCCATGCCTACCCCTGCCCACCCCAGCTGCTGCCCGCGCTGGAGCCCCCTCATGCGCCTACCTGGTGGTCGAGGTTGCAGGGGTGTCCCGCCGCCGTGGCCCAGGCGCAGAGGAGGCTGCAGACCCCGAGCAGGCAGGCAGGAGCCATTTGGCTCCAGGGAACGGCAGGGCTGAAAAACAAGCCTCGGGGAAAGCCGGGAATCCGGCAGAGCCGGCCGGGCCGGGCCAGGTGTGGCCACAGCCACAGGGCCCCCGCCAACCCCCCAGGGCCCGGCCACACGGCTCTGCAGACCCCCGGGAGCCAGCCCGGCTGCGCCCTGGCCACGCTCCTGCCGCACGGGTGAAAGGTGGCAGCGCTGGTTACACATTAACCGCCACCACGCCCCGACACCTCCCACCCGCTGCAGTGGGTGACCAGGGACCAGCCTCTGCCCCATGCAGCATGGGGCTGCCCTGGTGGGAGCAGAGCACTGGGAGGCAATGGGTGCCGGAGGATGCGTGGGGCACCTCTGTGGTACCCCGATGCAGCAGCTGCTGGGCTGCTGCGGGGGGGTGGGACGGGACAGGGGCATGCAGCAAGCCTCGGACAGAGAAGCAAGGGCTGAAGCAGCAAGAAAGGGTCTTACAGCAAAATAAAGGTTTTATTGGGATTCAGGTGGAAGGGTGTTTAAAACGTGCCGCAAATGGGCATGTCCCTGGGCCTGGCAGTGGCTCAGCAGTGTTGGCTTTCCAGCATTAGAGAGTCATACGGCTTCCTTGAGCAGCTCCTGTGAAGGTCCCATAGGATGCAGGTGCCCCACCGCCTCCTGCAGCCCCCATGCAGACCTGCCATTCATCAGCAGTGCTCTCTGCCAGTCCTGCCATGGAGCCAGTGAAAATCTGGGAAATGGTGTCAAAGCAGCACCCTGTAGGCGTTCACTGGCACATGGCTGGGACATGCCCCCATGCCCATGGGTATTGGAGCAGTGAGAGGGTGAGGGCTGGCAGAGCCTCTGCAGCAGGAGGGAGGCCCAGGTTCTGTTCCATGCTCCCTCACTCCCTGCTCCTGGTTCCCGCTGCTCCTCAGCAGCAGGCAGCCACCTGCCAACAAGAGCAGTGTGCATCTGCGGTTTCCACCCTGCCAGCAACCAGGACAGGGCGGCCCTGCTGCCCTCAGCTGCCAAGGGGCTCCTCCGCAGCCACATGTCCCACCCTTTCCTCAGGGGAAGGGCTTCCCAGCAGCTTGTCCTTCATCCTGAGAGTGTGTTGTGGATGCCAACACAGCCAGGTATGCCTGCTCCCGTGCTGCCCTGCTGAGGCCACCAGGCAGGCTGGGGATGCTCTGCCACCCCACAAGCAGGCTGCTCTTATGCCTTGTGGCAGCAGCCCTTAACCCAGCCTTGCAGGGACTGCCTGGGACCCGTTGTGCACATAAAACAAACAAATGGCCAGAGAAGCAGGGCTAGACAATGTTGCAGAGACAGCCCAGCCCATCAGTAGATTCACAGGGCGTTTGCATTTCCTACCAGGAAACGTATCGGTGCATTATGGTTTCTGGCATGCGATGCCGTGCATTAGAATGGGCAAATGATAACAAAAAGGGGTAATTTTGTCGCTCTTTTTTTTTTTTAGTCTATCATGATTCAGCAAAAAAGTTGAGGTCTGTGAATTCAGCAGAAATTCAGGTGTTTTCGGCATGCTGTGGGCTGGGCAGCTGGAGCTTTCTATGTTACAGAAGAGCAAGTGTGGTGAGCTGCTTTGGCCAAGCTCAGCTGCACCCAGCTCCCTGGTTCCTCCTTTGGAGATGATACATAAGGTTAAGCTGGCCCTGATTGGGTTTCCCCACAAAACCCCCCAGGGAAGTTTCTTGCGCTATCTCCCACCTAAGGGATCCACACAGAGAGACACCTCTTACCCAAGTGTTCCTAGAGAAAAATGCAAGGAGACAAATCAGCTTTGGTCAGATTCCTTGATGGATCCCTGAGATCTGAGCATCACCTGGTGTGAGAGCTAACTCCAAATGGCTCCCATTCCCCAAAAGAGCAAAGCAATGCACCAGTTCCCCTCGGGCAGTAAGAGGAGCCATGCTGTGCTCCAGGGAGGAATGGGCAGGGCCTGCGGTTGCAAAGCCTTTCCGAAGTGTTTGTTCTGTATAAATCATCCTGCCCTCAAATGGAATAATCCTGTCCTCAAACAAATCCTCTTGTTGGAGGCAATGTGCACCACACAGAGTGCACCATAAATGTGCATAACCATAATGCACAGCTCTGTGTGCTGCTGGGGGAGCACAGAACGAGTTGCTTCCCCAGGGGCTGCACGTGTAAGCACGTGGTGGCACGATGGCAATATTGTTGTGACCGTGATAGGCAGTGAACTAAGGGAAGAAATCATTTATTTATCTATTTATGTATCTGTCCTCTTCCTGCAGCTGTACTGAGTGCACGGATGAGTCCCTGACCCAGCAGCCTTGCAAATGACTTTGGGGTTCACCAGGCAAATGGGGATGTGCGGGCTTCCCAGGAGGGTGCCAATGGCAGGAGGGACCAGCCTGGCTGCCCATCCCCTGTGCATCTCACTGCAGGATGGCCTCGTGTTCTGCATTTGCATTATGGCTGCTCCTCAGGTGCTCCAAGGGGCTCCCAAACCCAGAGCCCTTCTCCCATACACAGCCCATGGCAAAGCACCATGCTTAGTTTTCCAGGCAAATGGGGGTAGCTGCAACTGGTGTCCCTCTTTTTTTTGAATCCTCTCCATCCCTCCTGTCGTGGGGTGTCCATGCGGCTGCTCTGGGGGAGCTCCTACCCACTGCCATCCCTCCTTTGGATGCTGTGGGCACCACGCGGCCCTGGAGCGCACTGTAAATAGTCGGAAGCGATGAATGGATTTCCCCTTCCTCTCCATGTGTGCTTTAGATTTTTGGCCGGATACAGTACAGGCTTGGGACACACCAAAACATGAGGCTTGCTCCTCGGCAGCCCTGGCTTTCACGTGGGAACAGTTTGATTTGTGAAGCGGTGGGAGGTTTGCTGAGTGAAGCTTATGCTGTTTTCCTGGGGACTACCATTCATTTTCCAGGCAAGGTGCCTGGAGCCTGCCGGAGGCTGGGGCAGGAGGGCTGGGTGTGCGGACAGCAGTGCCATGCCGTGCTGTGCCTGTGCCACTGCCCATGCTGGCACTGTGCATGGGAAAGTGCTGGGGGAAATCCAGGCTTTCTGCTGCTTTCTGCTTCCTCCCAGACGTGTTTACTGCAACATGGAAGGGCTTCTCCCAGGGCAGTGGCCACCCTCCTATACAGGCTGGTGGCTTTTGGTCACCCTGCTCTGCCTAGACCCTTTCAACTGGGACAGTGTCCTCACCACGGAACGCTGCAGGCGTGAGTCAGGCCGCAGCACAACACAGCACAGATGGGGCCGTGCCTCAGCACCCCGGCTCGTGGCGGTGGGAGGCCGAGGTGTCACGAGGTGCGTACGGCCTCAGCATCACCGCACGCTGCTCACCAGGGACAGCCCGTGCAGGGCAGCTCCCGCCAGCTCCTGGAGTCAGGGCCGTCTGCGAACAATGGGTGGAGAGCAGGAAACGCCGCATGGGAAACAGGATTTGGCTCCGCCACCGCCGCCAGCCACAGCCCCTTGGCCCCTTTCCTTTCCCTGCTCCAGAGAGTCCTTCCCACAGCCCTGAGCCACAGGGCTGCACCGAGGGGACGGGATGCTGCCACCCAGGCGGACTAGGGCATGAGACCCTCCGCACGGCAGGCAAGGAGGGGGCCCAGGACACCTCCTGGAGGGGCTGGGATCTCAGCATGGCTTGGGAAGCCCTGAGCACGCTGCCCTAGCCCCAGAGGGGTGGGTGCCTGCTCCCAAGGAGAGCTGCCACCAGGCAGAGGACCTCAGTGGACTCTTTGCCACCAAGCTTTGCTCCTGAGCAACCAGGTGGCCACCAAGCAAGCAGGGACAAAGGTATCTTCCTCGCCGTGCCCAGGATATGCCCCAGTGTAGGTGGTCCCGGCTGCCCTGGGCACTGAGCAGCAAGGAAGAGGCAAGATGAGGGGCACGAGCAGGAGCCAGGGGTCCTGAGCTGCTGCTCACGTGGAGCCCTTAGGGCAGCTGCAGCCTCTGGCTCCAACCCCTGTGGCTGGGACATGCCAGGGATCTTCTGACCTCTGCCAGATTCGGGACACACTCCAAGGACATGGGACTCCAGGTTTATCTTCTGCTTCTCTTCCCATGGCTGGCAGGTAAATCACCCCTTTCACTCTGCCCCAGGGAGCAGCCCCTGCCCCACTGAGGCTTGGTGGGATGAAGCAGCTGTGGGATCTCAAAGGCACCATCAGAGCAGGGTTTAGAGGGAGGAACATCCCTTTGTGATCGGCCATTTGGAAACCTCAGAGGCCAGCAGTGCTGAACCCAGGACTGCTGAACCCAGGACACCCTCCCTGCCTGCCTCTCCCCAGCATGGGGCTGGTGTGTGGGCAGCTTGTGGGAGGAGAGGGGCCCAAGACCCGTCCTTGCTGCATGCTTGGCTCATGGTGGGGGGCTGTGCCCATGGGGATCTCCAAAAGGAGAGTAGAAATGCCCACCGTGTCATCCCCATGGGTCTGCACCCAACCTGGCTGTGTCCTCCCTGTGTGTCCTGGGCTGGGGGTGACAAATATGTCCTGAAAAGGGAGTGTTGTGAGGGTGACAGGATCTGGCCCTGAGGCAGGGCTGGATGGCCTTGCCCTCGTCCTGCTGTAATGTGCCTTCATGCTCCTCCACCCCAGGGGCCATCCTGGACATCACCCTGATTGCCAACGTGCAGAGCCTGTCCCACTCTGACTTTTACCTGTCCTGCGTCATGGGGGATCGGGACGTGAGCTACCTGCAGATCGAGCGGGAGAACAAGATCGTGATGACGCACCCTAAGACCGGCTTCCAAAACTACCGCAACCGCAGCAACCACGTCCAGGCCAGGGGCTTTTCCATGGCCGACCTGGTGGGCATCCTCTACTGCCTGGGGCGCACCCCAACCGAGCAGGCACAGGTCGTCTACGTGCACAACAGCCACAACGGTGAGAGGCTGGGGGGACACATGGGAGCTACCTGCTCCGTGCTTCACAATTCCAGCGCCAGCCAGCACGGTGGCGGGATCCTGGTGACCCACAAGCTATGTCTGGGGTCTGCCAGTACCCATGGGGTGGATAAAGGAAGGATGTTCAGCTGGAGGAGGGTGGCTGAGGCCCGCAGGAATGGGCAGCAGCATGGGCAGATGGCTGGGCTGGGATCGGTGGCCGGAAACAGAGC